GATATCAAGGAGTCGAATGAGTTATGCGCGTGGTGGTAAGCGACACGCGCACAATATATTAGAGTTCTATGATTTAATTGTATACCTTTATGAAGATTGTGTAATGATTACTATCATAGGTTCCTTTACATTATTGTTTTACTTAATTAACTTAAGATATTGTGAAATAAATTTATCTTTATCTTATCATTAAACATAATTTTTCATGAATTTATAATTTTATTATTTTGCCAAAGTTGTTTGAATTCATGACTATTTAAGTATTTACCAAAGCATCTTACACAGATACCAACAATTTCTCCAAATCTTCCAATCGTTATTCGACCCAGTGTTCCCAATTTTCCATTAATAATTCGTAAAAGGTTGTATAATTAATATTAATCCAGTATTTTTCCGATGACTTGAAACTGTCGGAACGTAGAAAGTTGATAATTTACATAGCCGAAAACTGGGGTAATTGTCTTGATTTGTGAATATTTAACAATAAATTTTTAACTTAATTTCGGAGTACTACTCGTATTTTATATTATGAAACGTAACAATTGAAAGTGTTTATTATAATTATGCATGTTGTACGAGTATATTTGACATGCGTAGCTATGGCCAGAGTAAAAATCGTATAGCACATTAAGCAAGTGCCTAAACATAACTATAGATTTGCTCGACTTTTGATGATCGATATGTGTGATCTAACAATACGAGTAAATTTGTAAGCAACAAACGGTCGAAATCGTATTTTAAATCAATCAGATATGTAATTTGTTAAAGGTTTAACGTGTAGTTTGATAATCCGAGAGCAATTTAGAAATTTGTAATATTAATACAAACTGAATATGCCGAATTAAATAAATGCCGTCGCTACTGTTAATGTAATTGCGAACTTGAAATTTCTGACCACAATATAGTGTGCGATACCTTCACAATCACAATAGAGAGCTGAATATCTAAAAGCTATCACGAGTAATGCAGCTATCAAACAAAGTAACCGCAATCAATCGGTTCATCCATTTCGGATAGATCCCAATACTGTAGAGCAGAGGTTCCCAAACTTTTTTGTCAGGTAGACCATGTGCCATTTTTTTTGTTTTGTTTCTACAAATTCATAATCGTCAGATGTATTTTTGACAGCTGGCACAGTGCTTACTCATTTCGATAAGTTAAACTCTGTAGTTAGAAACTTTATAAAAAAACACATTTAATATATTTATCTAACCGAATATCATAGTTGCTGTGAAATTTAAATACTTCATAAGTGCTGCGGCGGTGCAGCATGTTCGCCAAGGCGAGGACTGACGGTTTCACAGCCGTGATGAGGAGGGAGTGACCTCCCTGAAGGTCCGCAGCCTACGCTTTAGACCCAATAGCATCCTGAGCGTGATTGCGAACCGCTGGGACAGCCCAAACGTTGGCCCGGTGGACGTCATTACACGTTCCAATATGAAAGTTTCAATGTTAACTTAGTTCCTCAAGATTTTACTTTTGTTTTACTAACACTTTTGTATGGACCACCTTTTGAAGTCTGAAACAAAGTTTTTTTTTAAAGTTATTTTATTATATGTAACTATTGTAACAAATTATAATATATGCGGGTACTATCTGTGTAATGTGGATTATTCCATTTATGGAAAGGCAAAATCTTGGGCCTGCCTAAATGGGTCCTACTCTCGTGGGCTCCTATTAAAGTCTCATGCGTCCACATTAACGTCTTCTTCGTCAGCTTACACGCATCCGCTGCAAAGACGAAAGGTTTTGTGATTGCAACTGTAAATGTAACTAATTTGTTTTTTGTCTTCTAACATAGATACCAACAATTTCTCCAAATCTTCCAATCGTTATTCGATCCAGTGTTCCCAATTTTCCATTAATAATTCTTAAAAGATTGTATGAAAATTTAATCAATCCGGGATTTCTGATACTCGTATTAACCACTCTATGTGCTTATAGCATACAGCCCTTCTTAAGCACTTAGCTACTTTCGTGCCAGATATATGTACCTACGATTGTATCTCCTTAAAATATTTAAGATGCCGTTAACTGTACGCTTTGTACGTGATATCCGGTATTGTTGGTTATTTCGGAGTTAAATGTGGACATTTCATTTCATAGCGTTATTTTAGTATTGTTTGAGCTCATTAAAGGTTTCAAAGTGAGTGGCACAAATGTTCTTTAAATGTAATGTGTTTTTAAGTATTATACGATTCCTTACTTTATCAAAGGAAAACTTAAGACTATGCCAATATGGACGTTCGTTCAACTGAGTCTAAGTACTGATTTTCTTCATAAAATGTAACATTTCGTGTAGTAAAATGTTACGACTTTGTTGTGCAACAATTGTACACATTATACATTTAATTATTGTTAGCTACATAAGTGTGTTAACAAGTGCTGAAAATTTAGGGGCGAGATTTTTTTTAGTCCCGCACTGAGTAATCACAAATTACACCCAAACTTTCTTCCGGCCTGGGAACCAACCCAGGACATCTGCGTGGATGTGGTAGTAGCAGTAGAGCTCCTTGTGAAAGAGTTCGTCCTGGGAACTACTGCCACCGTATCTATTTCTGCCGCCAAGCAGTAATGTCGGTATTACTGCGTTCCGGTTTTGAAGGGTAAGGGTGCTGGTGAAATTACAGGCACATGAGACTTGTCAACTTATGTCTCAGGGTGACGGGCGCAGTGGCAGTATCCTTCAGATCTTTGCGATTTAAAGCTCTGAGTGGCACTGCAACTGTTATGGACAGGCGTGTAGCTTACCATCAGGTGCACGACTTGTACCTCCTGTCACTTGATATTATAAAAAAAGTCATGGTAACCGTTCGGCCCGGAGGCAGATTTTGGCGCTGTCATCATTTACAAATCACTATTTTGTCATTGAGTTGAACTCTATAGGAAAATAGGGGCTACTGATTAGAAGAATATTGCAATCACCGAAATTAAACTATCTCCGTGGCCGAACGGTTACCATTCCGGACTGCCACGCAGAGGTCCCAGGTTCTATTTCCGGGTGGGGAGAAATATTTGTATGGCCAACATTTATTTATCTCGTGAGTTTGGGTGTAATTTGTTGTTGTCTATGTATGTGTCCTTGGCACCCGCGACACAGGGCTTCCCTAGTGTGGTGCTGTGTTGAGTGTGTGCGTTATTAATATTATTATTATAGATTGGGCCACATTAAGACATTAAGTTAGTTCACCTAATATCAAATGTACTGATTCGATCTATTTGCAATAAGAAAATAACTACTTTATTACATTTGACAAAAAGTTCCCGATATCAGGGATAGATGGCATGCTTCATAAAAAATATTTTGTGCTTTAGTTACCAGGGCATGATATGTACTCGTAACTCAGTTTTCTTTTGTAAAAGTTTAACTTCACGCCTTTTGGCCATACCAAAATAAAAATATTTTCCTCGGAACTTTCGTCACGTCACAAGCCCACGGCACCTTCAGCTTCTATTAATGTTGTTGTTGAATGACATTATAGTTCTTTTATACTGGTTACTTTTTACGGCCGTTTCTTAGGTAAGGGCGGCTTCAAATTAGACGTCTATAGAAGCAGGAGCGCCGGCAGTAGCGCGACCGTGTAACACTGTTACTACAAAAATGGCGCGCGTGTGTCACGATAGTGGCGCTGCGGTGACTGCGCTTCCAGATATTGTATGAAAATCAGTGGAGCAGCCGCGGAATAGACGCGCCGCTTATAGAAGCATCTAATTTGAAAGTGGCCTTACCTACCTAAGAAATTGCTCTAAAAAGTAGTCAGTACAAAATAAGTAAAAAAAATCTCATACGATCTTATTAGAAATACGCTAAGTTATTATGACAAACTCTTTCAATTACCATTGAATAATTTCAAGTATTGCATAATTATACAGTACTTAAAAGTCATTACGCTAATCTGAGGAATTCTCACAGCAGCTTCATTAACATGCCATCGAGTACCGTGTACACGTACAACTTACTTGCATTCGTGAGGGCTGATAATCAATATTGTCTTTTGTTTTGTAGACAATGCTGATGCATGCTGAATGCATCTCATCGACTAGGTATTATTATTTAATGGTAGATCACGTACTGTCATGTGATGAGATATTTATTTACCCAACTGTACGCATTTTATTATATGTATAATAAATACCTGTTTGCAACTTTAGCATTAACTTAGGAAGTGCAAAGAAATAAAAAATGTTGCATTTTGACCCTTGTTCTAAGCGAAAAAGACGACGTTTAGCGTCGACAGTTCGAGCAGAGGCGAAAGGCGCAACGTCTTTTTTGCTCTTATTACATGGACATAAAGATGCTGCGTTAACAAAGCCGGCCACAAACAGTCGGAATCCTGCAGCAAAACCATACAAATAATGGACAGTATTGTTCCGTTCGAATTTTTTCCTATTCGAAATTCCGTATGGTGGCTTGTGCATTTGGAATTTCACACAGAAAAAACCGTTCCGAGTGCAAGTCCAGACACACAGTCGTAAATTCCGTACGTATTTCCGCTGCGAGAACTTCTGGACTCAATGCCTCGCGTCTTTCAGCTGAGTCTTGTTATTCCGAACGAAAATAAACGTATGTGTGTGATGTACACACTGAATCTCGAAACGGAATTCTTTATATAATTTTTTTTTATAATAATAATAACGCACACACTGTGTCACGGGTGCCATGGACACATACATAGACAACCACAAATTACACCCAAACTCACGAGAGAAATAAATGTAGGCCATACAAATATTTCTTCCGGCCCGGGAATCAAACCTGGGACCTCTGCGTGGCAGTTCGACATGGTAACCGTTCGGCCACAGAGGCAGTTCTGAGGCCAAAGTGTGGTGACTCCCTATATCGACCGTACGGTCCAGGGATTATGGACTTTATACATTTTATCGTAAATGTTCAAAGGTTTTTTTCTGTGAATTTTCTTTCACCTTTACGTGCATGTATTCGAATATAGTAGCCCTAGAATGTAGTAGCTGTGTCTTAACCAAAATTTGTCCAATTTCAGAAAGGCTATCCCTGTCCAGAAACGCAAGAGCTAAGTCCAGGTCGCTGGGGTGGCCGTACTGTGGCCGAGTGCAAATGTCCACCTGGCACCGCCCAGCTGCCTCACAGTAATACCTGCTACAGACTCTTCGAAAGAGGACCATGTAGACCTGGAGAATACTTCGCGCCTGTTGAGGAGTCATTCAACAAGCGAGGGTAGGTAAGCATCAATTGTGTATAACGTAGTTGTAACGGATTTTAGCGGGAAAACGTATTCTGCATTTGTCATCAAGCTATGATTAGGTTTTACATCGATCGATTTATAGTGTTAAATAACATGTACCCCAATTAAATGGATGAAGCTACCAGTCAACAGACGTTTCGCTGTGTTTGGGAAACGTCTTTGATGAAGTGGGCTTATCCTGTACCTATACTATTCCATTAGCTCACCGTAGAATATCAGTTATCATATGGTCAACGCATATGAAGATCTCTACTAGGTGAACCTGGTGTAGCGAGAAGATGCAGAAAAGCAGGCGATTTATTCTTATTCTTGTTACATTGGCACAGATAATTGTGATCAGTATAAAGTAGAACCTTTTACTAACAGCATTTGAAAAATCACATTCATCATATAATTTTGGTTTGCACTATATTTAGCTACCTATACTTTCGAAAAATGCGTAAGAATACACTATTCCAATCAACAATTCATGTAGTAACGTATTTTGAATTACACTGGAAGAAACAACGAAATCCTCCTATGACTAAATGACTTGACTAATAATAATGTATTCTGTATTCCAGAGAACGACAAGGTATGTGCGTGCGACCTCAACAGTGTGCTGACGAGACATTGCTCTACTGGCCTCCTGACGGACGATGTTACTACAGATTGAGTCAGGGACCTTGCTATTCTGGCAGTTTGTTGGATATCGGTTCTGATGGATTGGCTAATTGTACTGTAAGTATTAATTTAGTCACCAGCACATACAGAAATTGGGTAGATTTGATGGGATCTACCTAACGTGTACAAGTACGCCTGTTGAGTCAGGAACCTTGCTCGCTAGGAAGTTTATAGGATTGGCTATGATTAGACCATTTAATCTGTGGTCCACGCATACTGTAACTGGATAGGTTTGATACGATTTTACTCTAACTGGTCTCCTAATGAACGTGCTAACGCATGTTGAGTCAAGGACCTTGCTCACGCGGCAACTTATTATAATTGTGTTTGTTTTTAATTTCCTAAGACTTTTCTGACTAAAAAAATATTATCAAAGTTGTCCTCCAGAGATATGTTTAATACACTTTAGAAAAAGGTCGGAAAGTTTGACAAATGTGTGCTTATTTTATAGATTTCATCTACTGTATAAAGGGTTGCCTAAAACCTTCCTTGAGGTCTTGAATTTTTTCGGTATTTAAAGGCTGTATTTTCAATTTCAGTGTAACACAGGCGGTCCACACCATTGGTCTATCGACGGAGGCGGATGCTATGCGCACTACACCCGTGGTCCTTGCGAGAGGGGTCAATTGTTCTTGCCTGGGTCCAAGTGCGGCTGCGAGCCACATTTGCCTCATTACCACAATGAGACTCAGGCTTGTTACGAACTAGGTAAGATCATTACCATAGACTATACACAACGAGGAGCTCTGAAACATCTTTACTCAACTAATTACGAGAATTCGACCAGACGTTTCAATCAATTTCTGCTCAGTTCATGATTTGCAAATACTTAAGTGACTTAGAACTAAATGTATAAAATATCGAAATATAAGTAACTGATCAGCCTTGGTGTAAAGTAGTGCTTCTAAAAGTTATTGTTCAAGGAGGTCATCATCACCATCATGATCGTTTACCCCATTATATACAATTAATAAGGAGAGGGTTTAGGCCGTAATCCGCCGCTCAGGTCATGAGGGTTGAGGACTTCACAGGTTTCCAAGATTTCCAATTGACAATTGTCAGATGGTCAACTGACAATTGACAAAAAGAGCCTTTTGGCCAAGCAGTTTCATCGGAATGATTTCTTTAGAACAGACATGAATATAATTAATAATAATATATTATTGATTTTTTATTAAATTTCACGATGACCACTATTTACCACTATTATATTCATATGAGTCCATTTTTTTGTGAAATAACACCATTAATTTGTTACAATATAGAGATCTATAAGAGTCACATAAAATAATTTCGTTGACCTGCCAACTCGACCGGTAGCTCAGTTGGCAGAGCGACACGACGTTACAGTACACCGTGGCCGCAGGTACGAATTCTGTCGGGTCGAAGGAATTTTTCTTTGTGTTCGATATTTATATTATTAATATAGGCATAGATACATGCCACAGCGAGTAGAACAGTCGACCTCTGAAGAGAACCACCCGTTCAATCTCAGGGAGGCGGCAAGCTTGAAACTAAGTAATTGGTGTGATTGTTTGGCGCAAGTAATTAATTATTCCAATTTCAGAAACAATTGGTCCCTGTCCCAAAGGCCATTTGTTCTCAATCACTGAGGTAGCACCACATGGGTCGCGTGCGGAATGCCGTTGCAAGAGCTTCCATGCAAGAGCTGAAGACGGTGCCTGCTACCGACTGTACACCAGGGGACCATGCGGACAGGACGAGATGATTGCCAGAGGAGGGCGATGTACCAAGGTGAATGATTATGATTATCATAAATTTTCCTATTGCTACCTCCCAAGTCGTGCCCAGTTACAGCAGGTCTAATACTAGGAATCATGTCTTTACGTGGATGCCATTGAAATAACTAAGGGATTTTAAGATATTTACATAATTGATAGATTTCAAAGCACAACAGCGCCCATAACTTTTCTATATAAGTTTTGATTATAGTGACCCTCTCTATCAACCTCTTGGTCGAAAACGTCTTGGTCGGAAGGGCACTATAATCTGTGCGCGCACAGGAACTTTATAAGTTCAGGTTCTGACCCCAGATCAGCCAGTGTACAGGGTTGTCAAAGATCGTTATCACTGGCTTCATTCGGTTCTCAAGAGGCGAGTGCCTCGGGTGAGCTGCCCCGGGTGCACGTACCACCCTCTCCCTATTTTCCAGATAAGCACCGGCGCTGTAGGCATGCTCACTTCCCGTTGTGAATTGCACAACTAGCGGTTGCCACCGCTAAGCCGTCGACTCTAAAGTCCACTACCAAATCTCCTCATTGGTGGCGGATCTGTAAGGCACGCTCCCGTCCCGTCCCGAAGCGGCTGGAGGGACCGGAGGACATGTAGCTCATCCTCTACTAGCTCTCTGAGCTAATGCCGGCGATGCCGGTCGCAGTGTCCTGTGACAATGTCTGGACATAACTCCCAACTTAAAGGGCAACTCACGTTCTCCGCGCACTTCCTCGCTTAGGCCCTCGTCTAGACCACTACTAAGACGCGCTAGCTGCACATGAGGCAGACGCCCCGGCAACACACCACCACCGGGGCAGACGAACACGTTCGTCTCTTCAACTCAAAAGTAAGAAAAGGCAACCTGGAATCTGTCAATTACATAAATGTTTTAAAAATTGGGATCATAATCATTTGCTTCCTCTAGTATTCATTCTTCCATTTCATGTTTTTTATTGTTGGTTTATAATATGGTCGTATAGTGCTGAAGTAGATAGAGACTGATGAAATTCCTAATCTGAAGGAGGAAATGATGTAACTTAAAATCCCAGGGTAATGTAACCAAGCTTACTTTAGGGCAGTCTCTTTAATTTTCCAGGTACCTTGTGCAAGAGGTCGTCTGTACGTACCTGAACGTCGCCGTTGCTATAGACCAGGCCAAGCTGAACCGTGCCCAGTGGGTGAGGTGGTGGCTTTTGACTTCGATGCCAGACCAGCTTTGGATGGTCTTAGCCATAATGGTGTTTGTGCCTGTGGAAGTGGTGCTTGTACGAGAAGAGACGTAAGTCTAAAAAAATAATATTTTGGAACACTGAGTTTTTCGTTTATCTCACATTTCCAAACAGTGAGAAGGTTAGAAGAACTTGGCCATTATTTTCCATGTATTTCCGGGATCAGTTTTGTATTTTCCACCAATAATTAAACGGGTTTCAACAATTACAATCGTACTTTTGACACGATATATTACTTTTGTTTCGTTTTTCTAGTTTTGTTATTAAGATTTGCATAAACGGTGGAGTACAAATTTGAGAAGATACCTTCATGTCAAAGACTATTCGAGAAGACATTTGGAGAGTTATTTCTCTTCCTTTTATCGAATTCAGTGACCTTGCCCTTAGACACTTAGCAACCAGTGAGAACATTATTCCAGATTCTAATCCCCCTAATTCCTTTCAGGTGGAAACTTGCATATCTCGAAGAGGTACCGCTGCATTCAACGGCGTGTGCCATATACTTCACACTCAAGGACCTTGCCAAACTGGGTCTTGGCTAGCCAGAGACCCCATTACTGGCAAAATTATCTGTCAGTGTAGACCTGGGGTCCTAGACGCTGATTGTAAAGTTTTAAGATTTACTATTAAGAGTTGACGAAGTGCCAGAAATTCTTTTTAGTAAATACATTAACATTTAGGACATTAGGACAACCTTCGACATATAAACCTTCGATGCTTTTGTCAGTTTTGGCATATAACATGGACGCAAATCTCTCAATTACATTTCGAAGTCGTGGAGGAATATGGTACGAAGGAAGGGCATGGTTACAATTGTTATCAGGAATTGCACGTTACTGGCAGCTCTTGCCAGTAAATAAAAATAAACTATTACCATAGTTTAAATAAGACAAGTAGTCCAGCTCCCGCCTGTTCGGCAAGACAATGCCGACAAGACAAGACATGTTGTCACGTTATTACTTTAGTTGTACTTACATACAGGTTGCAAGACATAATTAAAAAAAAGGTATCTCAAGAGTATTTTCGCGCTATATTGAGATAAACTTTGTCAAATGTAGTACTTATTTAATGATATTTTTGTGACAACATCGCTGATGAGTATCTCGATTATGGGAGTATGATTACGAAACAGAAATAAAATGTTGTCCAATTCTGAATTTGAGGCACTCACATGATATAATTTTTAAACACTGAGCGAATAATTAATTCGTGATGTCGGCTCTACACCCTTGGCATTTGCCGCAAGCCCCAAAGGTCTACAAACGCTGGGCAAATTAGGCAAGACAAACGTCGGCATCCGCACGCTTGCAAGCGCACTAGCGTGCTCCAGAGAAGCAAGCATGGTAGAGGTCGAATTTGTGTCTGGTATTACGTTTGGCTTGACATATTTTTATTACGAAAAGTAGCAAGATGAAAGGAAATGCGCATCTGCTACTTTTTGTATTTATGGTTCTTATGCTTCGGATTCCAAATTTATGATTCTGCTTGGTAGCACTCCAGAAAGAATAAAATAGTCTCGTTTAACCAGTCAAGCAGTTTCCAAATTTATAACAACAACAATACTATCACACCTAAATTATAATAGTGGTTTTTATTAGTTATTTTAAAACCTAAAGAAAGGCAAATGTTTAAAACCTTACAGCCATGCCTATAAAGATAATACAGCGTACATTTTTTTAATATATTATACGGCATATCTATCAACCCAACGTAGCAGAAAAGAAACGTCTATCCGTCGACATTTCTCAAACAATACTAACTAGCACAAACGTATGGATACATGGCAAACACTTGCCACAAGCTTCCTTTGATTTGTGCACAAAAATCGGAATATGGACGGATCGGCGACAAACACGTGCAAGCTCGCGTAAGCCAATGCAAATACACCATCCACACGTTTGTGCTTGCGCGCCCTTGCCATGATTTGGCAAGTGCGTGGAGCCGGCATAATTAGTGGCGCGTGCGAACGTGCCGTAGATTATGCGAATGTGTGCGTCCGTCATCGAGCATATTTACTCGATGGCATTCGTACACGATACTCGCGTGTATATATACAAGCCGTGCTACTACGTTTGTATGGAGTTACATTACTTGTCTTATTATACTATGCTATTACCAATTGACCTGACCAATTCTTTGGCATATGCAAAAAAAGAAATGTCGCTATAAGTTTTCAAAAAGTTGAAATATTCCTGGATGTAACATTTGGATCTTATATAGTTTAACGAACTGCCAAAGGTTTGGCTACTAAATCATTGTATAGGTTGAGTTTTCATGTTTGGTCTCTGAAGTGATGGAGCAGTTTTTTTTCAAATTATACTGCACGATAAGGGTCTGAATCTCATGCGTCAGTTGTTAAAGTTTTCACAGGTAGAAATTATTATCGAACAAACATCAAGGTCTATAAAGCAAATAGGCAAATATGTACTTAATTAAGATTAAGAATAACAATGATCTCGAGAATTTAGTTAGTAATTATTACTAGAAATTCGTTAAGACGATTCACAAAAGTTTAAAGGCCTGTATCTGATAGGTAAGTACGCGATATTCGCTATACGCTTAAGTTAAGTAAGAATAAGTGACAATATTAGTATTTTACATAAAATTAACATATTTCTTGTGAAATGTTGATTTTACAACATAATTTGGTTTTTGCAGTATGTCCATCTTAAAGGACCCTATTTTTTCATTCATTCCACTTGCATTCTACATTCACGTTAGCCGTGCCGACGTTGCCTATGGCCAACGAAGCACGGCCATCGTTGATCCGAAAGTCCTTCGGGGTAAGAGCAACCAACGACTTACGTATTATGAGCTTCGTTGCGGACGCAGTCACGTAGTACGTGTCTGCGTCCGTCTTTCGTTTGTGTATCGTTTTGAGCGCATCACTAGAGCCTCAGCAACGTCCTGCCTTATAGTGGTTAATTATTCGATATACGCTTGTGGGTAGCGAAATCCGAGTGGTTTGCTGCTATATCCGCATATTTGACGTTGTCTTTTAAATTTGGTCGAGTGTTATTTGTTTGACAGTAATTGTTTCGAACAGATGTCGGACGGAGAAAGAGAGTAGTCCCCTTTCAGCGCCGCGGAACTTCATGTTTCCGGGATACCGAGCGGTATTTTTGGAATATCGCTTATATCTGAGTAGGCCCTTAGGGTGCATAGTGTATTGCTTGAAAGACATTTTTCTCAGATTTTCAAGCAATAAAGACTGCAAATAGAATTATACAAAATACCTGGAAGGTTTTTTTATTAGCCCGAAACGTTTTACTACGGCATTTTTATCATTAAAATTATCAATATATTTTGGTTAAAATGTTTCGGGTGAATTAAAAATAACCACAGCAATAATTATGTATTATTATAGATGTTAAGTTGGGTGTAGCCAATAAAAATAGGTGGGTGAAAATATTAATGAAAACTTTTCAATAAAAAATATAATGACCAATGCAATTTAAGGTTTTCATTAAAACTTTCTATAAAAAATAAAAAAAACTTTAATAAATTATCGCTTACAAAATTTATTTTTTATTTTTTTATTTCTTTGTCGAGTTATTTTATGTCCTATAATTTAATCGTCGGTTTAGTATAACATTATTAATAATTAAAAATATATCCCTAAGTGATGTTTGGCTAACGCTATATTAATTATATTACATAGTCTTTTTCATGTCGTCTTGTCTATTTGTCCTTTAATTTCGTTGGTGATTTTCCTGCAAAAGAAAACATAAAGTTCAATTTTCCAATGATAATTTTTTTGTAATAGTAATAAAGTAATTTTAAAGTAATATTAACGTCGAAAACATTGGGAATGAAAATATTTTTTCGCATCTAAATATTGTATGTTTATTTGTTCAAACAAACAAACGTTTCGGGCCCTTTATTTGATTTAGATCCGAGAAAAAAAAGTTTCATTTCCACTTTGTTACAATCGTGAAAAACTAAGATCTCGATCAATTAACCAGCTACATTTAGGGTCCAAAATAGTGTACCTGTAAAATTTACGTAAATTTTTCTAAACTGTTGTAGCGATCGGTTTCTCATACGATGTAGAAAATGTCACAGTAGAGAAATTTCGAAAAAATTCCTGATGTCACGATAATCACGATCGACATGCAACGCACAATTGGAGGCAGTTATAGGTTGGATATTGCATGTGAAGAATAAATGTCAAGTTCCGCGAATGTTACAGATTGAAAGTAAAATTATTTTTTTCGGATTTGAATGGAGTGAATTTGTTTTTTCAAATAAAACCAACGTTTCACCATGTAACATGTAAAAGGCCTGTAAAAGGTTTTGTTTGAAAAACAAATATAAACAATTTAGATCGCATAAAATAGTTGCAACTCCAATAAATATAATAAAATAAATTAGATTTTTAACAAAGAATGACATTTAAATTATTCAACGACGTAGAATTATTTTCATTATTTCAACCGAAACCGGCTGGTTAAGCCCGGTAAGCTCATGATTTAAGGGTTATAATAGGAATCCCTGGCAGAATGTACTTTGATTTCTAAGTTAATGATGAGGAAAACATGCTGATGAAACTAGCATGTCGTAAAAGGTGCACAACACTTTGAAATGTATATATGATATATTTTTTATCGGTTGTGATTTGGCATCGAATAAAAACGGATACAGATTACTTACAAAATATTTCAACCTAGCATTTCTTTTGATACAGATAACTTGATTTTTTTGCGACAATAGAGATTTTAGTGAAGTTTCAATTATAGACAATGTGAGTGCGAAATTATATCGTAAACGAGAAAATGTCAGCGGTTGGTGTACTTACGAGAATCGGTCTCTTGTTCATTAAAATCTGGTCATGCTCTATCCAAATCTAACTTTTTGACTTTTAACGGTTTCCAGAAACATATTCTTTTTATAAGTGCTAGTGACAATGTAAGAGCAATGCCATACGGGAGCTACCGGTGCGTTGCGTCGTCATAACGCTATGATTCCAACGTATCGAGTGCCACACGAGCAATACGGTTTCGCAACGTAACGCCGCTTACCTACGCACCACCCCTCTCCGCTTCGTCTCCTGATCTCTTGTCTGATATGCACGCGTTCCGTCGACGCGCGCCGTTTAACGCACCATGATGTGGTATGTAATTGTAATTCATATACGTTACTACGCAGCGTCACCGCTCATGTGGCATTTTTCTTATCCAGAGTATTACAAAGTTTCTTACCAAAATATATCCTGTACACCTGATTGAAGGGCATTTCAATAGCTACAGTCGTAAGCACTGATATTGCTATTACCGCTACTATCTCAGGTACATGGAACTGGAAAATAAAGGAAAGAAAATATTGGTAGGACATTGGTATCCTTACAGCAACTTGGCGAACAATGGCAAATACCCAAAGGCGGCACTTGGGGGCTGTTCGTATTCGCTGATCGGATGTTTATCGTAGGCACCTATGTACTTGTAAACAACACTAGAATAATGACAAACTTGTAGATACTAATTAATATGATCGTCTGCACATGGAACCAAATAAGTTAAATAATTAATATTGTTAAAAGATACTTATTTTGGTATGAACGCAAACTCCCGACAATAAATTAAGAGCAATGTTGCATCACTGCAATATTGCTTGTGCTATTATTCTGAGAACGCTTTCTCTGCTCCTTCAACTTGCTCTGTTGTCTTAGTAATTGTACAATTATTGCTAATTAAATAGATATAAAAGTTTAAACCTAGTGTTTCATACTTATTTCAACAAATATGATCATAGTGTAGACGGTTTACTCGTGAATTTGCCTATTTCACCCCTTTGATGTACGAGAAACCGACAAGCTTGGTGTTTGCTGTTTGTCGAATAGGTAAACAGGGCAAATACCTTGTCACACAAACCATCTACACATGGTGATTGTTTGCCAAATACGTCAAATACACACACAAATATTCGCAGCCTTAGTGTAATAAAGTCACACATACACATACTGCTGTTTTTTTTGACGAACTACTTTGCGCCTGGTGGTAAGTAATTAGATCTTTAAATTACATAGATCTGAGGGCACAGCCATGGTGCCCTTCACCCTTAGTTATAAGTTGACAAGTCCCAAGTGCTTGTAATTTCATCAGCACCCTTATCTTTCAAAACTCGAACGCATTAATGCTCACATTACTGCTTGGCGATAGAAATAGTTAAGGTAGCAGTACTGTCTTGGACGAACTCTTTCACAAGGAGCTGTACTGCTACGAAAATGGTGTTCTCCGATAAATATACGTTATAGGCGTTTTCAACACTAGAGTGTATACCACATTAGCAAGCTACATGTTACGTTCTCAACTACACCTTCTTTTATCATCAGGGGAGATCACTTATAACATGTAAAAATAAAAAGTAAAACTTACAAGTAATAATGGCGTGTAGTGTTCCGCAGTTCTTTGAATGCCGACGTTGTAGAAAAATATCGGGAACTGCGTGAGATAGACGCCGTATGCTATTTTATTGAAGAACTTGAACACTCGAGACTCCACGAATGAGGTTCCTTTGTCTGAAATAAACAATATTTTGTTTACAATATTATGTTTTGAGGCATACGTTGATTAGCACGCACCTAATGTTGGGGCATTAGGTCTTTCGCCAAATAACTGAGGATCATATACGTAATTCAATAATGTTTACAAAATAAAACAATCCTAAACATATCTTCAGTTGCGAACTGGTGATTTTGCATATAAAAGTAAAACATCTCGTATTTTGATATGCGTACGTATTTTTGATTTTATATTCGATATAAAATCGAATCGATAGTTAGAATAATCTCAGTACAGAGTACTAAAAAAACCGACCTCAGAAGTACGTGGAATTACGTCTATAAGTTTTATTGAAATATCCCCTAGTTCGCCACTATACAGGACTTGACACTGGAGATAATAAAAATAGATTCTCACTACGACACTACACAAACTATATTGAGAGAAAAACGCTTGAATTGGAGAAATAGCAAAATCAACCATTAAAGTAATTGCTCCTAAATTAAAGTTAGGCGCTATTTATAAAAATGAATCTTCATGCGTGAACAGCCACCCGTCGACGCGGATGATTGTCTTCAAAATGAAATGGGACCACTATGGAAGTACCCCCTTTCCAACAAAAAAAGAATCATGAAAATTGGTTCACAAATACTGGAGTCATCGCGTAACATACATACAAAAAAAAGAACATACAGTCGAATTGAGAACCTCCTCCTTTTTTAAAGTCGGTTAAAAAATTAAAGGCGCTGATACGTTATTTCTACAGAGGTTGTTGTTAGGGTAGAGAGCAAATCAATTCAATAATGCTTAGCACAAATCACGTGATCCTGATGTAAAAATATTAAGGAAAAGTGTGTCTAATATCTACTACTTCGTCGAAACCAACACATTACCAATGAACGACAATAAAGATATCAAAGTGCCAAAAGAAAACTATAAACTTTATGTAATTTGTTAATTAGTTAAGATATCGGAAAATTTTAAATACTGCATTAGCTAGTCGAAATATTTACTTTAGTAATGTTATTATACTTTCTACATTTGTTACATATACATAGTCAAACAAATTAATAGAGACAACCGTTACTTTGCTAAAATCCACTTTTGTATATAAAAAATCGACCCAAAAGTGCTCGAAACCGGATTCATCACCTAGTTTGACACCCGTAAATGTGCAATATTTTCATCGAATTTAAATGGGACCAGGTGACTGAGGTCTTTCCAACAAAAAATAATCATTAAAATCGGTTTACAAATGCCGAAGTTATCGCCTAACACACGTACAAAAAAAATACAGTCGAATTGAGAACGTCCACTTTTTGCAGTCGGTTAAAAATTGAAATAAATTAATTTGCCACGCCGTGAACGAGGTGCAGGTTAAACTGTGCAAAATAGCTGCGCTTGTGTTGAATATTTTTTAAAATGAACTGCATAAAAATAATATTTAGCATAAGCGTAGCAATTTTACTCGATTTAACCTTCTTAGCTTTCGCGGAGTAGCAAATTAATTTACTTCCATTTTTATGCATGTAGCTATTTACGAGTTTAAAAAAGTCTAAAAAGTAAATATCCTGTTTCTTTTTTCTTATATAGTTCAGACGAAGGAAATGAGATCGTGATGAAATATTCTTCATAGAACTATGGTAGATCTATTAGACGCCTCTTAGTTTATCCTATTTCCATTTCAATCACCCACTCAATCATATTATGAATTAGAAGCAATTATTCAAGCTGTAACTCACTGTCAAGATAACTATTGCAAATAGCCCAATGTGCGACGCTCATGTGGATACCCCACATAATAGGCGAGAAGGCGGCAAAGGCAGCCGCCGGGCCGGGCTCGAATTTGTATCCTTCCAGACCCATCTGGTAGGGATAGCAGATTGTGAACATCATCAAGACGAAACAGGATATCCAGAGAAGTCGCGTTTGAACCTGAAATCGGCGAGAATGTGAGGTTAGTGTTGTTTTTGGATTTCAATGTTCGTATCTTTGTAAAGACTTCATCATGTAATCAACTGAAGGGTTATGGTTATTTTTGTGACTGTGAAACAAATTAGAATTTTTATGAACATATATTTGAAGCAAACTGGGAGTCAAATTGTCAGACCGAATTAGGAACAGTGATCTGCGCTTCAAAACACGAATCGTAGATGTGGGCCAACAAGCGGGTAAACTAAAATGGGACTGGGCGGGTTACGTCTGCCGTATGTCAGACAAGTTGTGGGCGAAGGTCTCTACAGAATGGATCCCTAAAGATAGAAAACGACCATGCGGCAGGCCAAAAAGTCGATGGAGAGACGAGTTAGACAAAACAGAGAGGTGTGGAGAGAGAGGAGGGAGGCCTTTGCTCTACAGTGGGACAGTATAGGCTTATAAAAAAAATATATATTTGAACGATTCGCCAGGCATGTTAAGACGGAACTAGGCTCCCAAAACTAAGTGCCATTTAACATGTCAAAAGCGATAATCCACTATCCAAAATTGCGACAGTTTTATGGGTGTTGGCGAGCGATAAAATTGTGTCTTCGGGATGAAAGTCGGGTCAATGACCGCTATTGACATGCTAAATGGCATGAGTGAGATTCTCATACAAATGTATGTATTTCTTTATTAAACAATAATGTTACTTACAAACGACAGCGTGAAATTACATTTCTTGTTCCTAATTAAGTATGCCATTGCAACGCCAATCAGGTAGATAGTAGCGCGGTGCGTTGGTAGGATGTAGCAATATCGTGCCGCATCTAGCAGTTTTTGTACTCTGTAACAGACACAGATCTCTTTATTAAAGTCGCACTCATACCTTTTTATTTCGACTCATCCGAAGAACAGAGTCCGATGTGGTTATACAGCGATACGAAGATAAATACATAATCTAATAAACTCGATATTCAAACTAAGGCCTTTCTATAGGTGTTTTCGGAATTTTTATTATGTTATTTTATTTAGGAAATATAAAATCGAACAACGGTCGATCTGATATCCACAGTGAACAACGATTGAAATGTACAGTGTCCTGAGAATAAGCGGTCTTGCACATAGGTCTTTGTTCTACGGATGAGTCGATTTATTTACGGTTCTTCACAGGTTTACAAAATGAATTATGCAAGTAGAAGTATTATGAACTTTGATTAGGGCACAATAACGTTATGTTCAATTGTAATTTAAACTTAAAAAAAATATATCAACTTAAAACATTAGAATTTAAGGCTATTTAAGGCTAGAGTGAATTGGCATTTTTTGGACAATCGCGCACCATCGTCGGTCTTGATCAATCTCTGACGATATCGTTCTTGTCGCTCGATATAGTGTGTTTCGACGACGAATAGGTGTCTACAGATTTGCTTGATCATTGACGATTGTTATTGTTGCCTTAACAACAAGTTGCTAACCCGATCGATAAATATCAGGGATAAAATTAAACAAACTTGTAGGCACCTAAATCTATCTACATAATCGATCTCATAAAATAGGATGTGGATCGTCTGTTGCTTACGCGTTCACTCGATTTTGTCTGGTCATACGTGTCGATCGACAATAATTATAACATTTTTACTAAAAAAAAACCAACCTCAAAAGTTCGTCAAGGTTTATTGAAATCACTTACCCGAATGTACACGAAACCGGATTCATCTCCTAGTTTACCATACTTAGAGGTGGAATATTTTTTCACAAATTCAAATGGTACCACTGACTGACTGTACTGAGGACCGCTTTCCAACAAAAAAGTTATCAAAATCGGTTCACAAGCAATCGCGTGATAAACACAAAAAAATATCGAATTTAGGACCTCCTTTTTCGAAGTTGATTAAAAAATACGAAATCTATCGAATCGATTTCTCACACATTAACTTGGATGTTTTGTGTGGATCGACAAAAGAGTAGGACGACGCGTCGATCGTCTGTTCCTTTATATTTATTTGTTTTGTTTGATTATATGTGGCGATTGTCAAAAATCGAGCAAATCTGTGTATACCTTCACCTTAACTTCAGGTGGTATGTAGCAGTTATTTTAAAATCAAACAAATACCTTTACGGTCACGGTTGACTGAGATGGTAAAGTCACCAGCCAGTTATGTCTAATAATCAATTTGAATTTAGATCCGAAAAAATAGTATTATTTCCTATGTGTAACAATGGCGAAAATCCAAGAACTCGATAAATAACTTTAAATTATTGTGCCCAAATGGGATAAGATCGTTTTATTGTCTACTGAATTTTGAAGTTTAGTTTGGGAAAAGTACTTTAAACTTGGTGTAGACTTAAATTTCCATTCCTTTGTCAGCCTATAAATTATCAAGATGGAACTTACTTAATTTATATTTACGGTGGGATTATTATTTTATTTACTGTGTAAGGAATGGTAACAGTTATTTTAATCGACGATTCCGTTTAATTTTGCATTGTACACAAAAAATAATATAAGTTGTATTCGTGACAGAAATTGGGATTTTTTTAAAGAAGATGTGCATGGTATAAATGACTTATACGACCAATATTCAAATTTCAAAAATCAAATCATTATTTTCATTAGATAAAGTGTTCAAGTGTGTCCTCAAAAAACAATATTTGTGTCAATATTATTATACCATAGCTTAGACGATACGTTTTGAACTTAATATTATTAATTCATGAAACAAGCCTCCCCGCACGCCGCACCATTTCTTTCCTCCGCGTCTGGCACACCCTGGGCATCAAAAGTACCTTACGCTGATTGGTAAATACTTTCATCAAGATGGAAAGCATTATAGTGTATGCTATTGATACGATGAGAATAAGACGGAAAACGTCTCACGAACCAACCTATTAATAAGGGTCAAAACGCAAAATTGCGATGCGAATTCGCATCACAGAAAACTTCGAGCTCGAACGACGCATCCTTGTGTTTTATTTCCTATATTTTCTTATCAATAACAGCTGTGCCACACTTTTTATAAGATTCATGTCGCTACCTAGTTTAAAAAATACGTTCAGTACGGTTGACGATCGTCGAAGGAATGGTTTTTTTATAATATCAAGTGACGGGACGAACAAGACGCGCGCCTGATGGTAAGCTACGCTCCTGTCCATAACAGTTGCAGTGCCACTCAGAGTTTTAAATCGCAAAGATCTGAGGGGCACTGCCATTGCGCCCGTCACCCTGAACCACAAGTTGACAAGTCCCATGTGCCTGTAATTTCACCACCACCCTTACCCTTCTAAGCCGGAATGCAGTAATGCTAACATTACTGCTTGGCGGCAGAAATAGGTAACTTGGCAGTACTTCCCTGCACGAACTCTTTCTACTGCTGCTAAAATTCTGGTCACCCGAACCGTGGCAGTGAGACGCCTTGCCGTACGTATTCGCATCGCGGCGATTCACACTTTTGTGTTTCGACCGTCAGTCTTGTAAAGAAATACAAATGTCGATTTTTAACGTTCGATGTGGAATGAGTAAGTAATAGGCGCTGATATCTATTTAGATATTAGCGGAGGAGGGCTAAACAGCGGGTTTAGGCCACGTCCTAAAATAATTGTTAACACCATTTACAATACAATAATTAAATTAAATAGCGCTCTGAATAACATTAGCAAATATCTGAAAGGTCACTTTACAATGTGCGTACGTCAATACTGAATTTGAAATAGCTCGTAAATATAAAAAACAAATGTTACAAAATCTGTACAAAGTAAATAGCTTAAAGTTCTTGATATATGTTAATCAAGATCATTAAATTATGTACTTTGTCCATTAACTGATATGACTACCATACATACTACCTATAACAAATAAATTATTTATACCTAATGTTAAATCTTGAATATCACGATGTTGTACTATACTATCATGATATTATGCAATATTTATTTTAATTAAATTACTCCATTAGTTTGTTAAAATAAATAATACAAAGTTCGTACACTAAGAAAAATTCCTTCGGTCCGGCTAGATTCGAACCAGTGCCTTCAGCATACCGTGTCTGAGGCTCTCCCAACTAAACTATGGAAAAATCATCAGGCCTACGAATTTACCTATGTACTTGTTGCAGAACTTAGTTTTCGATTTTTAACAACTTTCTTGCTGTGTGAAATCTTTGAATTTTTCAAAATTGCTTTAGAAGCATTGACTTACAAATAAATGGACGACGGGTCTAATACAAAAACCACGAAAAAAATGTCCCAAGTCAACCTATTCGAAATTTAAATTGTAATGTCATCGCAGTATCGCGCTGTCAGTCGAACAAATGAAGACTAAAGCGGAGTTTGGCGCTCTGTATACGATTTTAGCGCCTTACAAGTGCGGACACTTTTTAGCGCGGACCCGACGTCCATATAATTGTAAGTCAATGTTTAGAAGTGATGGATTTTTACAAAAACACCTTCATAATATTTATAATAGGTACGGTGAATTATGTAATTGAAGAACAACGTGTGAAACATCGTAGCTGAAAATTTTACCTTACTTTGTTCACACTACGTTCAAGTTTGTGGTGCTATAGATGCTCTCTCTAGGCTTTTCTGGTGTTTAGCTATGAATTGCATAGAAACGAAGTATAATTATACTCACGAAATTCCAAAATAGACGAACATACTGATGTTGTGCCAGTATACAGCAAAATAACGTAAAGCGGCGGAGGCCACGGCCAGCGTGGCCACCAGCGCCCAGCCAAAGGTCCTGGACTTCCAAAAGATCAGCATCAACGGTAACGTCGCCACATACAGCTGCATATCTATGCCGATCTGATGCGTGTGAGTCAGGCACTGGAAGTCGCATAATATTATTAATAAACAACTGTCGGAAAAAGGTGTTCCACATATACAGATACTTGTATAGACACAGCTACAAGAGCGACATGGAGTTGTTAAAACCACCAAATATTAATTGATTACTTTTTCGTATTCCGGATTTCCGGAGATGGTTTTACTGCAACGTAGGACAAACTACTGACCTAGGAAGTCGAAGTCGGATTTTAAAGTAGTTCTAATAGTGCCATGCAACAAATGCAGTGTCTACTGCATTTGTTGCTACTCTGACGGTCACATTGACGGTACTGCTATCTAGCATAGAAACCTAGCCCGCACACGCTAACTGAGGCAAATTGTAGGACGCCCTATGGGCTTACACGAGCGAGCGGGCTGTCAGTGCCCAAGGTCAAGTTGCACCGCGAGCAGCTCAAAAATTTTTGCTAAAAATGACGAAATGTGCGGTAATTGGGTTTAAAAATAAATCAGACAAATATAAAATAGACACTAACATCACATTCCACGGGGAAGTAACGCGTTTCAACTTGTATTTTTATATAAATGCTATCTAGCAGTACCGTCAGAGTGTGTGGAGAATGACAAGAGAAGAGAATTGTCTTGTCATTCTCCTTACTTTTTTATTCTCTGCTTTGGTAAAAGGCCAGTAGTGCGATTCACGTAAGTTCAAGCTATCAAAATATCGTTGAAGTTACGTAGTCGTTCGATCGAAGTCCTATCCAAAATGGGTATTCACGTGTCACTTGAACGAACGTTGATATGAGTAGAATCAAAACGTAACGACTAATGAACGACCTCTTTGATTGTGAAATTTGACATTTAGTCGTCGAAAATCTATTGAAACAACTGCCAGAATTTTAGCAGAATACTTATGACTTGTCGTTTAGAGTCGATTTAAAGTTCGATTCATATACCAGAATACGCTTTAACGACATTTGGATCGAACGACTTTAAAATCGGACTCGTTGACGTTTACTGTCACACGTGAATACGAAACAGCAGTTCAACGACTAAATCGCTACGATATCGTAACGGTTTGATTACGTGAATCACCCCCCAGTTATCTACTGCATTTTGTTACATGGCACACTTAGAATTACTTTAAAATCCGACTTCGACTTCCTAGGTCAGTAGTTTTGTCTTACAATACAGTAAAACCATTTCCGGAAATCCGGAATTCGAAGAAGTCACTAATTAATATTTGGTGGTTTTAACAATGCTATATCGCTCCTTGTAGCTATTACTATTTATGTAACTATGTATGTGGAACTTCTTTTTCCGATCATTGTTAATAAATTAGTAATGTCAAACATATTGCAGCGTTGTAATAATATGCCAGACAATCACACCATTTGTCTGGTCAAAAAGTAGGGAATACCCTGTAGTATACCCCAACTTCTTTTTTCCTTCGAAAAATGTCAATTACGCCGATTTTACTTAAAATTTTCTAATATGAAGTGACGGGACGAACAAGCCGTGCGCTTGATGGTAAGCGACACGTCTCCCCATAACAGTTGCAGTGCCACTCAGAGTTTCAAATCGCAATGATCTTAGGGGCACTGCCACTGTGCCCGCCACCCTGACACATAAGTTGATAAGTCCCATGTGCCTGTAATTTCACAAGTACCCTTACCCTTCAAAACCGGAACACAGTAACGCTGACATTACTGCTTGGCGGCAGAAATAGGTAAGGTGGCAGTACTTCCCTGGACGAACTCTTTCACAAGGAGCTCTACTGCTGCTAAAATATATTGTAACCTCTTTCTGTCTTAGTAAAAAAAATCGTTTCATTTACGATTTAAGGATCGAAATGCAGTGTAACAGGTTAATGAAAATAACTGAAATGAAGAAATTCTTCGTACTACGAGTCTCGAAGGAATGAAATTCCGGTGCACAATCCAATAGACCAGAAGTGTAGCAGCGAGTATAGTCGAGTGGTTTTCAAGTGCGACTTGTAACAAGATAATCAATTCGATTTCCAGCGCGTGTTTACTTTTGAATCTACTACTTTTCACTTATCGACACCGAATCACCGGTGAGAAAAAGTTTTACGTTCATGTAATAAGAGCGAAAAAGACGAAAGAAAAGAAAGTGAAAGAGCAACACCTTTGTCGTTCTTATTCCAGGAACATAAAACTATTTCTAACCGGTACAAGCCCATTCGAATTCGAATAAGAACCTATGCGCATAGAAAGTAGTGGCAACGCTATGAGTTTCAGTGTACTAAGTTGCTTCCGATAGTGCGCTGTTTCAATGGGGCCTATTCCACTGGCCCCTACCAGCTGTCCCCCCTAGTGGGGACAAGTGGATATTTTTTTCCACTCTTCCCTACCACACTGACACTGGTTGGAATAAGTGGAATTTCCCTGACCCCTTGTCCGATGCGCACGCGTTCTGTCACCTCGCGCTTTATCAATGCATCATGTGGCATGTAGTTCGAATTTATATATAGTACAACGCAGCGTCAGCACCGCTGACGCAACGCACCGTGTGGCATCGGTCTTACATGTAGTATAATACAGCGTCACGAGACGTAACGTCGTCGTCATAACGTTGCGACGACGCAACGCCCGTGTCGCGTCGCTCTTAAATGTTGAATAAATCAGTAGAAAACGCCTTGTGCAGATTTGCTCCATTTTTTGGCAAACGACACGTGTAATCAAACAAAACGAGTAAACGTATAAACAACAGATGTGTAGGTGCTTCCAAATTTTGTACGATTTTAACCTTGATATTTATAGGTGGTTAATACGTGACAGAAACTATCGATAAAATCAAACAAATCTGTAGGCACCTTAAATATCGTTCACTGTAGCCAAGTTTCATATTACGTTTCTCCGTTAAGTTTTTTCTCGTGCAATTGTATTCGATATCACTAGGCATGAACCACTATCTAATTAACATTATTATTTCAAATACAGCAAAAAACTTACTATACTTACTTAATAGTGGGTAACATAGTGACGGATTATATAACCCATGGGAACTGGTACATAAAGTAAATACCATTGTTTTAACGACATTCGATATCTATCAAATAGGTCATGTGATTCTGAGTACACACGGCTTAGGTCACACGATAAATTAAAATATCTATATTATACTCGTAACATTTTCGAAGTTTCTTTTGGTAAAATATTTCTGAACAAAACCAGAGTAACTTTAATGTTATTTGGAAAAAATAAATGGAAATTGTGTTCCGGTTTTATTTGAAATTACAGGTACATGGGACTTGTCAACTTATGTCTCAGGGTGACGGGCGCAGGGGCGGTGCCCATAAGATCTGTGCTATTTAAAGCTCCTAATGGCCAACCACAAGGCGCAAGATTTGTTTGTCTCGTCACTTCGTTTTACAAAAAAAATGCTCCTTGTGAAAGAGTTCGTCCAGGGTGACGGACGCAGTGGTAGTGACATATCTTTGTGATTTAGAGCTATGAGTGACACGGCAACGGTCATGGACAGGCGAGTGGCTTACTGCTAAGTGCGGGACTTGTTCGTGCCGTCACTTTGTATCATAAAAAAAAGGTTTAACTTTCACACAATCAGATCTACCGAAAAGGTATTCTACACGTTTTTCTGAATCTTGCTACTTAAAATCCCTCTAAGGAACATATCAGCGATAACATTGTCTTGGAAGTTCGCCTCATACCGAATTTATGCCAATCACGTGCTCAAATTTATGGTAGAAACAGAGGTTTGTTGATCTTGCTTATTCGACTACTTTAAATTGGTTTACGCGTGTTCAATTTCTGTTACTAAACAATTATAAACGGAAGTACTGTATTAGTTTGCGCTTATGTTTTAATTCGATTTGTTGAAAATTAATGTCTAAGTAGGTACGGTCAATGTCACACTGGATTTTTGAACAGCGCATTTATTTATAGCCTTATCAGTAGTCAGGAATGTAATTTTTAACCGATTTCATAAAAGAGGAGATTTGTGAACCGATTTTGATGATTTTTGAAGACCATATAGCACCTGTAAGAGTGGCAAACTAAGGGATGAATCTGGTTTCACGAACTTTCAGGTAACCGATGTCAATAAAACTTGGCAAATAGATGAATTCCATGAACTTTTTAGGTCGGTTTTTTTAGTACTGCTATTATGTCGTATTGTTGTCAATTAGAAATAGAGCAACCACATCACTTTATGTATGTGATCGGTGCGTTGATTCGACTTATGACGAAAAATTATTATAATAATAGCACAGGCATTCATAGCCCACTACTATTGAAACCATGCATCGCGAGTGCCATGGATACACACATAGACAACCACAAATATTACACCTAAACTCATGAGAGAAATAAATGTAGGCGATCATTGACTTACAAATAAATGGACGACGGGTCTAATACAAAAACCACGAAAAAAATGTCCCAAGTCAACCTATTCGAAATTTAAATTGTTATGTCATCGCAGTATCGCGCTGTCCCTAGAACAAATGAAGACTAAAGCGGAGTGTCGCGCTCTGTATACGATTTTAGCGCCTTACAAGTGTGGACACTTTTTAGCGCGGACCCGACGTCCATATAATTGTAAGTCAATGTAGGCGATACAAATACTTCTCCCGGCTCAAACCCCCCAAATCAGAACTCTTCGATATTTTAACCGAAGTTTCGAACGATATGGATATCGTTCTTGAATCGAAGGGCGCTTTCCGAGCTATTCAGAACATTCCGAGTTAAACATTCGATTCGGATTTGGATACGATATCTTTATCCAACAGCGTTTACGGAGTTAGTCGGTGAAATAGATTATAAGAAAAATGAAAATCCTTTTATATACATTTTTATAAATTTAAATTCCTAAAATATAGGAATGTCTTAGTCTTGCATTAAAATAAATTAATAAAAATCCAGACTACAGTTAAAATAATAAGAGATTTCCACATTACATTCTTGCTTTGTAAACAATAGGACGTTCGACATCGAGTATATAACCAGAACTAGAGACGAAATGTCAATTAATTTGTTTGAAAACTGTTCTGCCATATAATTACTGTGACAACTGCGCTCCGATTGGCTAGTCCGAGTTCGAAACAATTGACGGGTGTCGTCAACTGTTTCACTTCAAATCGACTAGTTAACTTGAATAGGAATGAAACTATTTTTCCGGATTTAAATCGCGTATATTTGTTTTTTCAAACAAACCGACGTTTCGGGCCCTTTACAGGTCCCATGGTCACGGTTGACTGAGGTGGTACAGTCTTCAACCAGTTATGTCTAATATTAATGCAAACCACCCTATTTTTTCACTATAGTTACAATAGTTATTAATTAAATACCTTATTTTTAATTTTACAAAGAAAACATTCCAATTTACGCTACATTAAGTTTTACAAATTATTTTATTGAATGAATTTTTTATTAAGTTTAATTTATTTTGTTTAATTTAGTTTGTTTAAGTTATTTTGTTTTGTTTGAAAAAACAAATATACGCGATTTAAATCCGGAAAAATAGTTTCATTCCTATGTATAACAATCGCGAAAACCTAAGAACTCGATAGTTAACTTGAACTTTGCTATAATGGACGAAAATTGCAAAATTACATATTTAATTACCGATGAAATGTGATTGCGTTTGTTTTGTAATTAGATGTTTAGCTGTTTTTCCCACACCACGGAATAGAACAGCACAGCATTGTTGGAGATATTATCATTATTACAATAAATACAGAATATTTTTTGGAATATACGGAGACGTACGCACAGGCCAGTAGTTGGCCTGTCTATATTTCAGTGCAAACAAGAGTTGATATTTATAAGAGCTGTATCGCTAACGTGTTACCAGGAATATATGGCCCTTATTTCGTCTCTGTTTCTGGTTATATATTCGATGACGTTTGGTAACATTCATTCGATAACTGTATTCTAAATAACGTTTGTGGCCTTTGCTGGTCGAGAAGTTCGAGTAATCGTAAGGGGTGTGACGTTATTTCGGTTCCGTTTCGAATACGACAGTTTGACGTTCGATACGGTTGTTGTGAATAAAAATTTTAAAAAATTGTACTATGTCAAATCGAATCGGTCGACAACTGCGTTATCGTAAGGTCCTAAATCGACCTATAGGACTAGAACCCTGGATCTCTGCGTGGCAGACCAGCATGGTAACCGTTCGTCCACGAAGGCAGTTTATTATGTTTAGTTTATACATAGCGCGCACTATAAGTTTCCGGAATTGGCCACTTACATAAACAATATTTATAAAGTGAACTCTTTGGCTGTAGAATACAGTTTGTTTCATCTGACTGTCACTTGTTTTTACATTGTGGCGTCCAGACCAGACCAGACCACCAACCAGACCAACCAGAGTGGCGCGCGTGCAAAGTGCCTCTAAGCGGATGATTGCTTCTTTTTTTAATAAAACTGGACACGTGGCTTCTGTTGCTTTGCTTTGCTGTTGATTCGCTGTACCATGAATGGTGATTGGTACACGACCATATGTTTGCCGGAAGTTATTGACAAACTCCGTAAAAATAACCGTAAACGCCGCCGTATCATCTTGCACCACGATAATGCCAGTTCTCACACGGCCAGACAGACAAATTCCTATGAAAAAGTGCATTAACACTAACGGAAAATATTTTGAGAAACAATAAATTCATTTTTGACCATTTATAGTATTTTTTCTTATTCATTCCGGAAACTTATAGTGTGCCTCACGTATGTTTGTTCCGTACGCGTTCCAGAGTGTTCTCCGTCCGACATTCCGTCGGAAGTAATTACTATCAAAGAAGTAATTAATACTCGACAAATGAAAAGACAATCTTGAAAAATAAAATTAAAAATATTTTATTTAAAATTCTGAATGCTCTGTTTTGTACTGTTTCGTTTAAACTTTGTAAAGTATTGCACAATTGCTATTATTGTATATGCACCATGCTGGCATTCCTATACAATACGCAAATAAAGACGCATGGCGCTAATGAAGCTTCATACATCACATTGTCTTTTGATTTTATCGAATATTACTTATTTGACAGTAATTGTAGACCCCCAGTATTATACACTTGATTGCAATAAATTTTTTTGTGAGTTGTTCTGCCAAAGTCCGCAAAAGTTTCTGAAGTATATATATGTATCCCACTGCAATATTTTTGCTTTCATTTGTCAATAGTTTTCACTGTCAACCCAGGAAGAGGTCCCGGCTTCGATTGAAGGCAGAACCAATTTGGAAATGACTCTTTTAAATTTGTTTTCTGTCTCGGTGCTCTGGATAGTGAATACCGTTGTTCTGGTACTTCAGTATAAAAATTCCCTCCAATAATACCTTCTTTCTTGGACCATCTTAATTCTTTTAGTACTAAGATCCAATTTACTATGGAACAAGAGAATTGTGGTACTTTAGCTTTCTTAGATGTTTTAATTAAAAGAAATCCTAATAACACCTTAGGCCATACTGTATTTCGAAAAAAAACCCATACAGATAGGTACCTCAATGGTAATTCCCATCACCATCCTAGCCAGTTAGCTACCGTGGGCAAATCTTTGTTTCAGAGAGCATATGGTGTCTGCGACAGTAATCATCTGGCAGGGGAACTTCAGCATATAAAGCAAGTCCTACATGCGAATAAGTTGAGGATTCCACGCCAATGCCGCAGACCCCGTGTGAAACCACCAACAGTCGAGCGAAGACCTGCCATCTTACCTTACGTGAGAGGTGTTACAGACAAGATCGGAAGAGTCCTCAGGCGCGCATCTATCAAGACCTATTTCAAGCCCCTGAGGAAGATTTCTCAGTTCCTGAGACCCGTGAAATGTAACATCCCCTTACAGGATGCAGGAGTTTACAAGCTTGACTGTGAGTGCGGTCTCTCTTATATTGGACAAACAAAGCGAAGTATTTGTACCCGCGTCAAAGAACATTTAGCTGATGTCAAACACCGTCGCGTAAACAAGTCTGCAGTCTGCGAGCATGTCATGGATAAACCTACACATTCAATGAAGTTTGACAAACCCCAGGTCCTTGCAAAAGAAGTCCGTTATCTGCCCAGGATGCTGCGAGAGGCCATTGAAATTAAAAAACATCCTAATTTCAACAGGGAAGATGGTTTCTCCGTACCACCAGTTTGGGATCCAGTATTTCCTCTAATGAAAAATCCCAAACAGACATAAGACTGCAGTACTAATTAATATGTTTTAATTTATTCTAATTTCTATTAATAATTAATAATAAATTTAATTTAATAAAAAATTCATTCAATAAAATAATTTGTAAAACTGAATGTACCTAGCGTAAATTGGAATGTTTTCTTTGTAAAATTAAAAATAAGGTATTTAATTAATAACTATTGTAACTATAGTAAAAAATAGGGTGGTTTGCATCAATATTAGACATAACTGGTTGAAGACTGTACCACCTCAGTCAACCGTGACCATGGGACCTGTAAAGGGCCCGAAACGTCGGTTTGTTTGAAAAAACAAATATACGCGATTTAAATCCGGAAAAATAGTTTCATTCCTATATTGGAATATATTTTCGTCAAATTTAAATGGGACTACTATTGAGGTGGGTACCTCAACAAAAAAAAGAATCATAAAAATCGGTTCACAAATGGCGGAGCTATCGCGTAACATACATAAAAAAATATATGGTCGAATTGAGAACCTCCTCCTTTTTCAAAGTCGGTTAAAAAAGGTAGTAACAATAAAAACTATTTACCATATCTTCAAATCCGAAGTAATTATGTATGAAGAGGAAACTCTTCCACATATTCTTCTCGCAAACTCTGCTGTGCTCCTCGACGACTAGATTCCACTGGGGTCCATTGTTGATATCGGGTAGGATATATGTGCAAAACAACATCAGGCTTAGGAATAGGGGGAATAACCTGAAAAGTAAAAGACACATTTTAAAGGCACAAAAGGGTAACCTATTATAGCTTGTAATCGTCACAATTTAATTTCTTATTTTATTTGTAAAATACTATAAAGTAAGACTATATTATTAAAATCATAAAATACAACTTTTGTTCCATCACTTTTTAATAAGTTTACCAAAAATAAACTTTTAAGATTTTGTTGTGCTATCTGACACTTTTTAGATCTGCATTTGGTAATAAGGTTCAAACGTGCAAGCATCCTCTGTATCTGTGGATCTACTCTCGTTCGACATTTCATCCAAAAGACAATGTCAAGTATGAAGCTTCATTCGCATCATGTGTCATATAGTTTGGTCGAGTAGGTATTACGAGACCGATTCCTGTAATGAATTCAATTCCTTTGCCGTATGTATTAACCGCTGATCTAAGCGGTCCGTTCGGACCTTCGTCGAGTAACGTACAACGTCAATTTCGCATTCATGTAGGACATAAAGTTTTTTCCAACTGGCTCAAGCCAATACCGCGTGTCAAGTGTGATGACTCCTTTATGAAAGAAGCTGCCCTCTATCATCATCATCTCACCTTTTTATCATCCTCTTTTCTGGTTCTTGGCCGCTTATTTTTTAAATTATTGAATCGTTCTCTAATTCTCTTTCCCTTCACTATTCTTACGTTTGTTCTAACCGTCTGTCGTTACTCCCATAAAATCACATTAATTTCCTTACTGTAGAACTTCAAGTCAGTTACTATTAAAATTATGCAGTTATATGGGCCTTTTTAGTTATGTAGTTTTTTATGGAGTGTTTTATAATAATTGTGCTTTTTTATATTATTTTATTATTTGTTACAGTCTTTTTTTTCCCTCTTTTATCGTTTCTTACAATAAATCTCGTAGACCGAAACTTCCGCATTCTCAATTCTTTAAGTCTATGCTACACTTCGTGCGAATGAGTGATAAAATATGTCAACACCTTATGTCAACGACATACAATTGTAAAGACCGTATGTCTTTTCTTTATTAACCTCTAGATTCAAAACAAAAACAATATGAGTTCTCTGAACGAGAAAAAAGTAAGATGTAATTCTTCTTCACAAAAAGCAAAAGAAGCAATTACAGTCATCGTTGATCAACCAACAAACAATGACGTTATAGATAATTTTCATAGAAGATGTGTTAGCAAAAGAAGATTTTCCAAAATGGAAGTCTCAGCTATGTTTTGGCCACAAACCAAATAAAGTGGTGGCAATCACTTGTGGAATTACCACCTATTTAATTCGCATTTGGTTCTGACAATGATGACAAAAATACAATATAATTGAGTAAGAACCGTGTAAAGTCTTTAGTTTAAAATATGAAAGACATAAACTGAAGGAACTTACACTGAAGATTTAAATCCAATCATTTTATAGAATAAAAAGAGAAACTAATGACTTGGCAGTATGGTCTCTGACCTTCGCCTGTTCCATACGAAGGAAAACAAAAAAAAAACAATAATTCGTCTCAGGGCAGTTCCAATTTTAAATCCATTCCAAGTAATTTCGGAAAAAAATTCAAGGAATAAAATAACTGCTTATCATCGTTCTAATGCGGTAACGTGATCTTAAACACACACTCAAAAAAAAAATTACCTTATACATTAAAAAATAATTATTATGATTGAGAGAAACAGCATTCAAGATAAAAGATAAGGCAAAGGCACGTGTTAATTGTTATCGATATTAGTGTTACTGATACTGATTAATCGATTAATTCATTAGACTATCAGAATTTTTATTGACATAGTAGGCAGTACTTTCCGTTAAAAGTCGAATGGAATTAGGGTTGAGAAATAGAATGTAATATATCGATCCTCGATACTAAAGGTCGCCTTACATTGCCGTTGCGTAGTAGTCTTGCGATGTATTAAAATGAGCAGTACGATATACTTTACCATCTACAAAATAGGGTTACATGTCTTTAAACAAAAAATGAAAAAGGAGATGCAGCAACCGGCGCCGAGCTGAGTAGCGAGCACTTTGCTAATTGCAATATGATATAGAACATATTACGTACCGAATAAAGTATTTAAATGCTGGTGAAATTACAGGCACATGAGACTTGTCAACTTGCGTTTCAGATTGACGGGCGCAGTGGCAGTGCCCCTCTGACAATTTTATTTTATTTTATATCGACTTATTGGAAGACAAACGGCTATGTTACGGAATAATGGAGAGCTAATCATAGATCCTCATCGATAGACACACATTGAGTAATGACATATTCGCAACACTTAGTAATTAGCTACTTTTTTTAGCGACTTAAAGTTCTGAGTGGCGCTGCATCTGTTGTTAGGCGAGTCGTTTGCTCCCAGGCGGACAACTCGTTCGTGACGTTACTTGGTATTTGTACTTTTTTGAAAGCAAAATAACAAAAGAATTAAAGATCGGGTTCTGGATTGAAATGTTGTATTTATATGACATATTCAGCTATACGTACTGTTATTTTTTTAAATGCTAAGAAGTTATAATGTTCAGTGTAATTTTTTAAAGTGTTTTAGGTGTATAATCGTCTATCTTTACTAATTTGATGCCAGCCAACACGGGGTTCTGCCAGTATGGTCTTTTGAAGTAGGTCATAAATATAAGGTCATAATCTTAGAATAATAACGCATAGAATGATAGTTTCATATCAAACGAACTGTCACAAGTGAGGCAAAAATCAAATTCATGTAGGCGTAAGCAACTTGTATTTACGCTCGTCGGCACGCACACAAATATACAACTAATGATGCCATTGAATAATATTTCCCTCAAAAGTGGGGAAATTGTATCTTGCTTAACTCATCGTTAAGTGCGTACAGATTTGCCCGACATTGTCGATCAGGTGCTTACAAATTTGCTCGGTTTTGTTGATCGTTACTGTCGATCGACAATGTCAAGTGACAAGAATTTTCAAAAATTTATTTTTGGTAATCCATATGGAAATGGCATTTATATCTGAATACACGACGACGGACACGACTTTTCAAATAAATGCAATATGGGAATCATTTTCGAGGTATTCGAGGTGCTCATTACGAATATGGCACTCATTTCTAAAACCAAGTGGCGGGCACGATTTTTCGAATAATGGCAAGTTGGGTATCGTTTTCAAGGTATTTGGGGTTGCTCATTACGAATATAGCACTTATTTCTAAATCCAAGATGGCGGACACGAGTTTTCAAATAAATGCAATATGGGTATTATTTTCGATGTATTTGGGGGTGTACCTAATGTAACTTACCTAAACCATCTGGCAATGAGTCTGCTCTTAATATCAATGGTTCCTTTCCTCTCCAACTCTTGGAGAAGATTGTAAGCGTTGAGGAATCCACTGAGGTACAGGAAACTGTCCGTGTACAATATAGCCGAACGTCCTATCACAGCCCAGGGCATTCCGAATGTCTGTAAAAAAAACACTTAAAAATAAATATAATACTTTTATGCATTATTTAGTGGTAAATCCAGTGATTATGTATGTGATTGCTCTGATTCTACGTCCATCAGTCTAGAGCACAGAAGCATTGCAATACTTCTTTGCAATGGAAATTTGTAGAATAATGGTGTCTAACATGACGTGCTACTATACTATAAACGTATACCTACACAAAGTCGAAAATAAATTACCTTATTCATCTTATACGAGGTTACAATCTGAGAATTAAAACCGTGAAGGGTTAAGTGTCCGTCTACCCTTAAAAACTTCCAGCATTTGACAAATAGAATTATAAGTTAAGGATACCCATTTTTAAAAAGTGTATGTCGAATAACGACCACGGAAATTTAATATTTAACCAACTTCAAAAAAGGTTTTTTGTATATCAATAACCGAGATGGAACTTACTTAATTTCTATTTACGGTGGGATTATTAGTTTATTTACTGTGTAAGTAATGGTAACAGTTATTTTAATCGATGATTCCGCTTAATTTTGTATTATAAACATAAAATTATATTTTTTTAAACAAAATATGCATAGTTTAAATGACTTATATGACCGAGACGACGACACGACGATACGACATTATTTTAATTAGATTAAGTGTTTAAGGGAATCCTCTAAAGAAAATATTTTTGTTAATATTAATAATAATATTAACCTCCTTTTTTTGAAGTCGGTAATAATACCGACTTCAAAAAAAGGAGGTTCTCAATTCGACTCTGTTTTTTTTAGATGCATGTTATGCGATAACTCTGGCATTTATGAACCGATTTGGATGGTTCTTTTTTAGTTGGAAAGAAGGTACCTCAGTAGTGGTCCTATATAATATTGAAGAAGATATTCCACCTCTAAGGGTGGCAAACTAGGGGATGGGGGCGCACTTTCCGGTAAACGATTTCATAAAACTTGGCAAATAGATGTAATTCCTCGAACTTTTGAAGTCGGTTTTTTTAGTTCTCTGTACTGAGGTATTTAGTCCCATATTTAGGTTGTTATTTTGTGAATATTTAATGACAGGTACTATTCCAAGTTTCATTTGCCATCTTCGATGTTAAGACTGTTTCCAAGTTTTTACTTTCACATTATAGCTAACTAAATAAATAATATATTTAATAAAGTATACGTTAACCATAGTCCGTTTGTGCATCATGCTTGTACATAGCTCTGACAGCTACAAGAAAAAATCTTAGGTTACCTACTACACGTGTAGCAATTCGAGAATCTAAAGAAATTACAAAAGCTAGTATTGCATTTAGTAGAAATGTGAGACCACTTACCGCAGAGTAAGTCATTTTATTTACGTAAGGATTGTGAGCCATTGCCATTGACTTGTGTGCTAGCAAGAGTGCGAAAGCATTCATTCCTCTAAATGCATCAACTCCTTTCACCCTGCTTGGTTCGTCCGACACGTCCAATATCTTTCTAAAGTTTCGTTTGAGGGAAAACGCATTAAGTATCTTTTCGAAGTTAGAAGCACCTTCCTTCCCGTCATCCATTATTGTGCCCAGGCTAAGTAGGAGAATTATGGACAGGAAAAATGTTCTGAAAAGATAAGTTTCACTATACTTTACAAAATAATAAACCTTGAACCGCGTAAATAAAATTCATCAGTTTCTTTATACTTTTGACCGAGAACGAGCTTTTTACCAACGTTTTCAAGCGATTCTCGTTGACTTACTGCCTTGCAGAGGTCGCAGGTTCGATAACCGGGCCAGGAGAAATATTTGTATGGCCTACATTTATTTCTCTTGAGTTTAGGATAAATCTTGAGGCGTTATGTTTCTACAATTAAATTATGGATTTATTATTGATTTCGACATTAATTTTCGTGTTGTTGGTAGAAGATTTCGCATACATACCTTCTCATGTTAATTTAGTAGAAAATGGTTTAAAAAATGGTTTCTTTAGGCGCTCTTTGACTTTCTATAATAAAATTTGAAATCGTATTTTTGGGTTTATTCTTATATAGTTTTAAGGGGAAAGTAAGATTTTTTTATTTTATTTGCGTATAACAGCGTACTGTAATGTTCGGGATGTAATTTTATTATTTAATTGGAACCGTACTTGCTTGTAAAATTTTTGTTTGTTTGTCGAACTCCAGATCTAATTGTTCTAACCGATGTCTTAACACTGTTTGTTTTCCTTCAATTGAACAATATATATAGACATTTACTATATTTAGACGCATAAGAGTTATGATAATGCAACCTGTAATACTTACATAGATAGTGTTTTCCCAAAAGAATAAGGCCGTTTTAAATCCTTCACGGAACACATAGTATTGTGGACTTTAACTGAGATACCCAAGCCGGACAGACGCTGGGACATCTCTTCTTCAAGGTCAAAGCTGCTGCAGGAGCTTGGTATGCAAATGCCCCATAGGATGCTGGAGTAGCGTGGAACGCGGTGACCCATCTGGAAAGTAAATGCTTAGTAGACATATTTTAGTAAGTACATCTGCGACTTGACAGATAATTACACCCTGGACTCTAACGTTATATACTGGGCGTTCCTCGGCTGTGGGGCACCGAGGAAAAATACTTTAAATGTTGTAGATAGAGTATTTTGCTTCATGGACACATTATTTTGATTTTAAAAGTAAGTATACTGTATTCAAAGACTTTTAAGCAAACTTATAAAATCTAAAGACAAGGTAGCCCAAGCTTTTGAATCGTTCTTTTCGGATCATTAAATTCCTCCCCTGCTCTTGCTATTGATCTCCTAAAGGAAAATGTTAACGCTTGTGGCAGTTTATTTAATTTCCGTCGTGTTAATCCACAAGACATTATAAAAGCTTTTAAATCAATTCATTTAAAAAAAACTGAAGATCTCTGGGGTATATCAACTAAAGTTATAGACTCAGTTATTGATCTAATTTCCCCACATTTAGCTGTAGCTTTCAATAGGTACGTTGACGAAGGTGTTTTTCCCGATTTAATGAAATACAGCAAGGTTATTCCCTTATTCAAAAGCGGTAGGAAACTTGATCCTAGCAACTATAGGCCCATTTCAATTTTACCAGCTTTAAGTAAAATATTCGAAAAGGTTATGGTGACTCAATTACTGTTCTATTTCGGTAGGAATCATATTTTTCATAGTGAACAATACGGGTTTACTAGTGGTAGATCGACTAGCGAGGCGGTAGCGTTACTAAAACATATCTTTGATGCTTGGGAAAGGTCCCAGAACGCTATTGGTGTTTTCTGTGACCTCTCACAGGCATTTGATTGCGTTGATCATATTACTCTTATTAGGAAGCTGGAACATTAGGGTGTAAATGGCAAGGCGTCGAAACTTGTCTCGTCATATCTCAATGGTAGAATTCAAAAAATAGACATAAATGGAGTGACTTCTTTGGGTTCTCCGGTAAAAATGGGTGTTCCGCAGGGCTCAATACTTGGACCTTTCTTATTTCTAATTTATATTAAGGTCTGCGATTCTTTGTTAAGGACCATTGCTAAATAGTATTGTTTGCTGATGACACATCCTTGATTTTTAAAACAGACAGACATGACATTAACTATGACCATATTAATGATACCCTATCTAAGGTAGTTTATTGGTTTAATGCTAACAATTTATTGCTTAATGCCAAGAAGACAAAATGTGTTAAATTTGAATTACCTAACGTAAAATCGACTAATCCAAGCATAGAATTAAACGGAGAAAAATTAGACCTTGTTAATAAAGCAGTCTTTTTGACAGTGACCTTAGATAGTAAACTTCAATGGTTTCCACGTATATCTTCCCTGGCCAGCAGATTAAGCTCCGCTACATACGCAGTCCGCAGAATACGTGAGCTTACCGATGTTAGTACTGCTAGACTAGTTTACTTTAGTTACTTCCATAGTATAATGTCCTACGGGATTCTCATGTGGGGTAAAGCGGTAGATATTCAAACCATATTTGTATTGCAAAAACGAGCGATTCGTTCTGTGTACCGTCCAGGCTCTCGGGTTTCTCTCAGAGAAAAGTTTAAGGAGACTGGTATCATGACTGTGGCATCACAGAACATTTACTCAAATATTTTATATGCCCGTAAAAATATACATAATTTCAATAAGAAAAAAAAATCTTAATATTAACCTTAGAGCTAAGTCCAAACTTGGTACCACGATTTCGTTTAACCAAGGTAAACAACTCTTTTATACAGTTTTATACGTTTTTACAATAAGATTCCGGATTCATCATTTCCTAAGTTTAAAAACTACATTAAAAATATTTTGATCGAAAAATCATATTACAAAATTTAAGACTACGTGTTAGATAAAGATGTATGGAAAGACGACACGGCTCCAGAATCCACACAAATCTGATTCAAAGTGTATTCCATAGCATTTAAGTTTATTTGAAAAGAGCAATCCCTAGAGTTTCTTGCTCGTTCTTCTCGAAAGGTCAGCGTAGTGAACGAGAAATAGCTTAAATGTGACGTTTTCAAGTGTAAATTTATTTTACCTATGGAATAAATAATCTTTGACTTTGACTTTGACTTTAAAATATTGCTTGTCTCATCTGGGAATAGAACCGACCAAACGTGAAAAAAAACGCTCTGTATTGTTATATTGCCGATCGAAAGGGTCCATTACAACGATGGAAAGGTTAATGATAAAAGAGGATATTTTTTTTCACTTGAATGAAAGTGTACTTACTTTGAAAGATACTATATTTTATTAATTACATAATTAGTGAATTTGTTTAATTTTTTTTTAATATAATGTGAAGTGACGGGACGAGCAAGACAAGTGCCTGGTGTGCTAATCTTCTACCTTTCAGCACATGCGCGATGCCATGCAGCGATACAATCGCAATGCAAATACGATGCGCGTTTTTAATTATTCAAGTGTAAGTAAAAATGGAAGTAAATTAATTAGCTGCTCCGCGAACCCATTGAAGGTTAAATCGTGCAAAATAGCTGCGCTTGGGATGAATATTTTTAGTAGCATGCTGTTAGTAGCAAATTAATTTACTAGCATTTTTATTAACATGGACTTCCGCAAAGTATAGCCAGAATCTATCGATTCAATTGTATGCACGCAAATGCATCGATGCAATTGCTTTTAAATCGCTAGTGTCACAAACGCGCATTTGTATCGCTGCAAAAACTCGCCGTGTGTAATCGTTCTTGGACCTGTGCCATGCAACTGGCAAGTCTGTTTGGTACTTACACGCAGGACTATTAATGAAGTCACATTAAAATTATTTACTTAATATTAGTTACTCGTCGAAGGGTCCAAGGTTTCCTGTTGCGAAACAAGTTGTGATTCAAAATCAGCTCGTCACGCTGGGTACTAAATACGCAGACAATGTTGTATAGCGGTGTACTCTTGGAATATTAACTAAAAACCTTGAATACTATTCGTGATATAGATGAAACGGTATTGATGTGATTTATTGTTTTTGTTTGTCACTGACCATAAAAAAAGGGCACGTTCCTAAATTGACTGTTTTCATATAATTTATATTATTTACTATCCTGATTAGGGTTTCCAGTTTCGCTGCATTTCCGGGTCCCGAAAAAAAAAAATGCGCGTCTGGTGCTGAGTGACAGCGAAACCGACATGTCTGCAAGTAACAGTAGCAGTGCTTTAAATCATAAAAATTTGAGAGGCACTATCATTGTTCCTAGCACCTGGAGACATAAGTTGACAAAGCCTGGTGTACCTGTAATTCCACCAGCATTCTTACCCTTCAAAACCGGAACGCAGTAATGCTCACATTATCGCTTAGCGGCAGAAATAGATATAGAAAGAGGTAAAGTGGCAGTACTTTCCTGGACGAACTCTTTTTACAAGGAGCTCTACTGGTACTATATTTATGTATATGCTTATAGGCTAGGCATTTAGACATTCAAAACATGATATTTTAATCAAGTTCTTTACCAACTCAAATTATGAAATCTAAAATTATTCATTAACGTTTTGTTCATTCTCATATATAGTGAGTACTTAACATAATCTCAGTACAGAGTACTAAAAAATCGACCTCAAAAGTACGTGGAATTACGTCTATTTGCCAAGTTTTATTGAAATCGGTTACCGGAAAGTGCGCAAACCCGGATTCATCCCCTAGTTCGCCACTATACGGAACTTGACACAAGAGGTAACAAAAATCGGTTCACACTACTCAAAGTATATTGAGAGAGAAAAACGCCTTGAATTGGAGAATAGCAAAATCAATCATTAAAATGATTGCTCCTTATAATAAAATTTAGGCGCTATTTACAAAAATGAATCTTCATGCGTGAACAGCCACCCATAGAGGTGGATGATTTTCTTCAAAATTAAATGGGACCACTATGGAGGTACCCTCTTTCCAAAAAAAGAATCATGAAAATCGGTTCACAAATCAGTTATCGCGTAACATACATACAAAAAAAAAACATACAGTCGAATTGAGAACCTCCTCCTTTTTTTGAAGTCGGTTAAAAAGGCGATGTAGTTTCAGATATGCTAAGATATTCAGATACGATAAGAAGTAGATTTTTGATGTTTAATTTAGTAAAATAGGTTCCCAATCTTTTTGGTTCACCGCCCAATTAGGCAAGATAAAAAATGCCGCCCATCTCCACAATAAACAATTGAAAACACGTATTTTTTATATTAACTTAACATGAAAAATCACAAGGAAAATGAATTATTACTACACATATTTGTAGTATAGTTCATATAGATTATTCAGGTTTTTTGTTTTTAAACGCGGTAGCACCCTCTGGACAGCATCAACGCCCCCCAATTGCTTCTGAGGCCCCTACCGCCGCCTAGGGTTCTTCAGCGCCCACTGGGGTAGGGACCACTTTGAGAAACTATGATTTAGGGTCGTATTCCAGAACTCTACTCAATACTCAAGTCAGGACTTGAGTATTGCAGTGAGCACTGAAAATCATACTCAAGTACTTGCCATTAGGGTCGTATTCCAGTGCTTGAAATCATACTCAAGTCTGCTCAAATCCTGACTTGAGCATTGAGTAGAGTTCTGGAATACGACCCTCATTAACTTAAGCGACGAAAACGTCTCGACTCTTGAAAATGCCAATAATTGTAGACATGCGAAATTTTCGAGACTGCTGTACCCGGCATGAAGGCCTTAAACCTGCTTGATGATTATATTATTTTAGTGCCTAGTTTCATTTCAATTAAGTTTCATAACTTGAATCATTCAATAATGATGTTTGAAAGTGTGACATTAAATAGCGCATGAAGTCTATTTTAGCAGATGTGATAGTCGTAACTCAAATTGGGTCAGAGTAGCCTGATATCTGCCGTTTCATCGGTGGCTATACCGTCGCCGGAAAGGCAAAGGGATAAAGCCTGGCAGGGGTTTTGCTACAAAAAAAATCACATCACCAAAATTTTCCCGAATCTAATTTTGTTTTGCTTATTTGTTTGTTATCATGAGAATGATAGCTGAAGTATTGT